ATATTCTTAAAGCTCTTTTGATACCCTGTTAAATACTAAATAAAAATTAAGGGCTGTTTGTGCCAGGTGCAAAACCTTTCCAAGAACAATAAATCACAATGGCCACTTGTGCCAGGTACAAACCTTGACAGAACAATAGGGAGTTTTCAAAGTATTCTAATCGCAGACACTTTCCAAATGAAACAACTTGACATAAAAAAATGTTTCTGACTCATCATGCCAGACACCACCAATCCTCGACAGACAAGTATACCTATGAAACCAATGACAGAAAGACCTCCCACTTTGTAAAACCCTCCCTTCAATTAAGGACATTGACCAATGACCCAATTACTGTAACCTCCTTACTAGAATCCCCTGCCTTTAAAAACTCCATATTCACTCTGCTTGAACAAGCTTCTCAGCTGGACACTCCCTACGCGTGAACAGTTTCTTGTTCAATAAACCCTGTTAACTCTCATTGACTTGTTAATCAGCTTTTTTCTTTTGACACCTCTTTCTCATTATATGTTTTGACACCCCTTTTTCATTATACGTTTGTGTGCATAAACATCATTACAGGTGTGTCTTCTCTAGAAAGTGCAATTCTCCCCAGCCCTTTGAAGAGTTATTGTTGTTAGGGACCATCAAGTCAGTTCTGACTCACAGCGAGCCTACGTACAACAGAACGAAACACTGCCTGGTCCTGCACCATCCTCATAATCCTTGTTATACTTGAGCCCATTGTTGCTGCCACTGTGTCAGTTCATCTCATTGAGGGTCTTCCTCATTTTTGCTGACCCTCTACTTTACCAAGCATGATGTCCTTCTTCAGGGATTAGTCCTTCCTGATAACACGTCCAAAGTATGTGAGATGAAGTCTCACCATCCTTGCTTCCAAGCAGCATTCTCGCTGTATGTCTTTCAAGACAGATTTGTTTGTTCTTCTGGCAGTCCATAGTATATACAATATTCTTCACCAACACCACAATTCAAAGGCATCGATACTTCTTCAGGCTTCCTTATTTATTGTCCAGCTTTCACATGCATATGAGGTGATTGAAAATACCATGGCTTGGGTCAGGCACACCTTAGTCCTCAAAGCGACATCTTTGCTCACTGCAATACGTTGATTTCTTGACTGCTGCTTCCATGGGCATTGATCTCGGATCCAGGTAAAATGAAATCCTTGACAACTTCAGTGTTTTCTCCATTTATCATGATCTTTCTTATTGGTCCAGTTGTGAGGATTTTTGTTTTTTTTATGTTGAGGTGTAATCCATACTGAAGGCTGTAGTCTTTGATTTTCCTCAGTAAATGCTTCAAGTCTTGTTTGCTTGGAAGAGTTACAAGGTACAAAGTCAGCACTGGCTGGGGAAGGATGGGGGTCTGCACATGGGGACCATTGTGAGGGGCCAAAGAATATGAGGCCAAAGTCAGTGTCTTAGTTATCTAGTGCTGCTATAACAGAAATACCACAAGTGGGTGGGTTTAACAAAGAGAAATTTATTCTCTCACAGTCTAGTAGGCTAGAAGTCTGAATTCAGGGCGTCAGCTCTAGGGAAGGCTGTCTCTATCTGTTCTGTGGGAAGTTCCTTGTCATCAATCTTCCTCTAGTCTACGAGCTTCTTCGCACAGGAACCCCAGGTCCAAAGGATACGTTCTGCTCCTGGTGCTGCTTTTTTGGTGGCAGGAGGTTCCTGTCTCTCTGCTCGCTTCTCTATTTTATATCTCAAAAGAGATTGGCTGAAGACACAATCCAATCTTGTAGGTTGAGTCCTGCCTCATTAACATAACTGCCATTAATCTCACCTCATCAACATCATAGAGACAGGATTTACAACACATAGGAAAATCACATCATATGACAAAATGGTGGACAATCACACAATACTGGGAATCATGGCCTAGCCAAATTGACAGCTATTTTGGGGAGACATACTTCAATCCATGACAATCAGGAAAATATCACCCTCTGGAAATAAAGTTAATTTAAAACGAATGCATTATGGCTGCATGTTGCAAGCTGTAGAAGTGACTGCCCCTTCTGCAAAGAGCCAGTACCCTCCCTGCCACAGCAATGGGAGCCACATGGCTAGTGTGTGGCCTGAAGCAAGTCACTTCAGCTCTCTGGGCGTCAGTGTCCTTATCTATGAAATGACACAGGAGGCGGTCCATGATTCTCTCAGTTAACCCCAAACCCGTAAACATGCTTCTCCAATGGAGTTTGGATGATCTTAACCTTAAGTTTGGGCCATCTGTGAGCAGGCATTTTATGTGGTCAGTCCTTGTAACAAGGGGGCATTTAATCATTTGGATGTTGTGAAGAGCTTGTCCACTCCCCAGCCCATGTGTCAGCGCCAGGACTGGCCTCACCAAGGCAAGGGGGCTGGCCTAGCTGATCCTGGGAGGGTACACACTCTCTGAGGCTGCCTAGTTGCCTTCTCGTGGGTTGGTGCCTCTAGGACATAAATCGAATCTGTTCCTGATTCACCTTCAAACTTGTTAGACTGAGCTCTTAGTGGACAAAGAGCTTGTTATCTGTCAATGTCTGAACTCCAGGGACGAAAATGGTGCCTACACCAGAGGTACTGAGCGAGTTGTGGTTTTAATTCAAGGTCAGTCTTATGGGTGAGGTTGAATCCTGTCCAGGCTACTGTATCCCAAACTCATTGGCCTTCACAGCTCATCAGTCCACGCTTGTGGTAGGCTGTGTGGCCTCCCCCGACTTCCTGAGAGCTGACCATTGCTGCCCCCTTCTCTGGCCACATGGTCACTGGAAGAGCTCCCTGCAGCCTGGTCAGGACTCTGGTCATCCTGCCTGGTATCAGTGCTCACCCCAGTCCAATCTACTGCTGGTCCAAGAAGTCAGCCAACATTTAGTACTGGCTCTGGGGCTCCCGAGGCCCAGCTGCACCCTCCCCTGAAATTCTAAGCCTACCCTGGATTCCCAACACAATGCCTACACCCACTTTTTTCCCCTAAAGTCAGTTCTAGTAGGTACATTTCCTTTATTTGTAGCCAAAGGGTTCTAGCAAATATAAGGTTCTGCCTTATCACAGAGGCCATGGGACAAATCCTATGCAGTATGTAACCCAGGGATGTGTGAGTTTTCATCACTGTGCAAAAGACAAGAGTAACCTAATTAAATAACCCCTGGGAGCTGTAAGAGAAGAGACCTGAGGCAGCATCGCCACGGGTCAGCATCCCAGACTGTCGGGGGGCGTCCTCCTTGACCAATGGAAATCAGTTGCCATTGAGTCAATTCTGAATCATGGTGACTCCATGTGTGTCAGAGTAGAACTGTGCTCCATAGGGTTTTCAATGGCTGATTTTTCAGAAGTAGATTGCCAGACCTTTCTTCTGAGGTACCTCTCAGTGGACTCGAACTGCCAACCTTTGGGTCAGCAACCAAGGGCGTTAACCACTTGTACCACCCAGGGACTGCTGACCGTGGGAAGGTGTCCCTATATCTGGGGCTGATGCAGCCCCTCCACCCAAGTATTGTGGTCTGATGAATGTCTCTGTCTACAACATCCTGGGGTTGGAAGTGTGGGATTTCCCCTTTAACTCTGTTACATCAACATTTGCTAAAGTTCAAAGAAGACCTTCTGAGTAATGACACCAAACAGACCCCGAAACCACAAATAAACACTCTCCATTTCACACACCGGTCAGCACCCGCGTTTAATTTTTGCACCTTGGAAAGAAATGCAGGCTCCCTTGCCATGGAATGTTAACGCCTTTATTAATTTAGTGTTAACACTGCATTTGCTCTGGTGCTTCCTTTGTCGGAGTTGTTGATTCCACGAACAACAGTTTGGTTCTCTCCGGCTCATGGGCAACGAGGTGAGTGCATCACAGTCAAAGGAGGGGAGGGGGGCGAGATGGAGGAAAACAAGGTAGAGAAAATTTAAGGCAAATGTTATTCCCGTATTAAAGGGAACTCATCAAGCAGATCTGAGCATTTCCATGAAAATATATGAAATATTTGTCAAAATAATTAACATTGCTAAAAATTAGAACATGTAGCGTATAAAATGTCTACACAGGTTTAGCAGAAATCGACCAATCTGTGTCACATGGCCTCATGATACACACAGACGCAGGGACACCCACCATGAGAATACTTCTCCCACAAGGCAGAAGCCAAGTGTAGTTTAAAAGCAATTCCATACGATGGGCTGAGACTGGTGATTAACCGGTCACGGGCTAGGTCTGCTCTCGGTTAAGCCCAGAGGAACTGCATGGTCCTGCAGGGCCCCTGGAGCGCGTCATTTGGCCGCCCCAGAGGGCTCCGCGTCAGGACACATGGGGGTCAAGGCCATGAGACTCCCAGAGACACAGAAAGAACACAGTGACATGGCAACACGGGGAGCTCAGCTCCCAAGAAGAGAGCTGCAAATAAAGGAAGCATCTTCCGACCCAGGATCTGGATGTGACTTTATAAGCCACTGCTGCTGTTTCGGAAGTGGCTGAGTCGGTAGAAATACACACTCCATACCCAGTGGTCATAGATTTTATGCTCCCAAATCTGTTTTATTTACAGTCCGACCAAGCCGCCCGGCAGATGGCTCTGTGCAGGCAGAGGAGCAAGTGAGCAGCCGCCCTTTATCACCACCAGGCGTACGCGGGCCCTCGCGGGCGGCCCTGGGGAGATTGACTAGGTGCCGCACAGAGCTTGGGAAAGTGACGGGGATGCCAAGTGTCTCTCCTTTCTGCTTTGGTCTTGAAGATTCAATAAACTTATGGTCCCAGATACTGCTCTGAAGCCGGAGCTGTGGATTCCAGATTTCATTTTGTTCCCGTTTTGAGTTTGCCAGAAGAATGTAGCCAGGAAGCAGAGTTTGAAAGAGTATCAACACGTTAAGAACACCTCCTTGAGAGGCCACCATCCCCCTGGTTCTGGGAGCACAGAGCTGCTGCCGCGGGCCCTGGTCCAGTGAGATAAAGCTGTCAAATGCACGGCACCCGCCCCGCTCCCCAAGCAGAGGCTTGGTCCGCAGGTCTGGTGAGGGTGGGTGGGCAAGAGGGGCCAGCGCCCTCTACCCGGCCAGGAGGCATGTCCGGCAGCAGAACTGAATGAAGAGCTTCCGCTCACAGAGCCGGTTTGACTTCACCATCTCACAGAACGTCTCATCGGCTGGTGCCCCCGGCCAGGAAAGAAAAAGGAGAGATTAGTCAGACTTTATGGAGCCCCTGGGGGGCGAAAATGGTTAAGAACTTGACTACTCCCTGAAAGGCTGACAGTTCAAACCCACACAGAGGTGCCGGGGAAGACAGGCCTGGTGATCTCCTTCTGAAGGGTCACAGCCTTGAAAACCCCATGGAGCAGTTCTACTCCGCGCACATGGGGTCACCATGAGTTGAAACTGACTTGATGGCAACTAACAAAAACAGTCAGACGCTGGGGCCTGTTAAGATTGTTCCATTCATTCTACATTTGCTGGGAGGTAATGGCTGCAGAGGTGGTGTGGGGGGACACGGTGAGGTGGGGCTGCCTGGCAGCCTTCCTAATTACCCCTCCTGTGACGGGGCTTGACAGATGTCAGCCCAGGTGGTAGTTAGGCGTGAGGGGCTTGTGCCAACTCTGAGGGACAGAGGGCCTCACGTGGTGGACTAGAGGGGCCTCTCAAAGTGAGAGGGGGTCTGAGGAGACCAAGATGAGGGGCCCTGGGTAGACTGTGTGGACCTGTCTTTTGGGTGACTATGTGGTGGTGGTGGGGGCGCAGGGCAGAGGGGCCTGGAATGAGGCTGCTGCCGTGGTCTGTTGTCATCCCCCATGGGAGGAGGTGGTGACGGAATGGAGAGAGTTGTCAAGGAAGATGGATGAGACACAGCGACAGAAAAGGTGACGTGGTGATTCGGGGGAGGGAGGAGTACGGAGGGAGGACAGTCCCTGGCTGCTGGATATGAGAATGTCTGGCCGTCCACAGACCCTGGGAGACCCTCCTGCTACAAACTCGCTCTTGGACTGGATGTGTGACCAGGTGACACAGGTGACCTCCTAAAGAGGGAGCCTTCTGGCCTTTGAAGAGACACAATTCTGTGAACCACCAAAATCACCAAACAGCACAGCATCGAGCCACTTCCCTGTGGTTTGTGAGGCATCCCTGGGGCTCCTGCAGACGGGCCAGAGCCCGTTCCCTGCCCTCCTTCCTGCCTGGACGTAGTGCCCAGAGCTGCTGCTCCAGGCTGCTCCTCCCTTCGGCACACCCAGCCACTGCACGTTCCTTTTCTGCCACAGCTTGTCCTGCAATGGCTCTCGCCAGGCTCCAGCCAAGCGTCCCTGCCAACCCTTCCTCCTGCCTGGAATCCCACACTGGGCACTGCCTTTGGTCCCCGTCTGAGTTTCTGTTTTAAACCCATCCATCCTTGTCCCTCAGCCCACCTGGGGACCCAGGCCCTCCCATAGCACAGCAGGCTGTGTCTGGTCCCAGCCCAGGTGTAGGTCCTCCCTGTAGATAGCTCCTGTGTGCCTGGTGGGGTTCCTGCTGCTAAGCCTGCCCTCTGGCAGGCCTGCCAGCTCACACAGCCTCCCTGCCTGAGCATGGGCCTCGCTGTAGGGCTCTCTCCTCTTGGTCCTGAGATGGACACCCTCCAGGTCTCCTGGCTTTGACCCCTGAGTGAGGCCTCTCCTATGAAGTCACTACAACCAGGCCGCCTGGGCCGATGGCGTAAGAGTGGGAATGGTACAAGAAGAAAATAATTTTTAATAGTCACCCAACAAACCAATCAGCAGTAGCTGGGCTGGTGGCCGGGACGCCTCAGATCAACATGAGAGGCCTAAAGGCAGGGAGGAGAGAGGGCAGTCGTGGTCCCAATCGACTAGAGAAGTCCTGAGACGGTCCGCCAAGCCGCGGGCCAGCAGGCCTGCTCAGTGGGCTGCTGTTCCCTGACCCGTTCTCTGAGGGGCGGCCACGCTCACCGTTGCTGCACGTGTGGTTGGTGATGCACAATGTCCCCAGATGCGTGAAGCCCGGCTTACATTTGCTGCAATTCCTGCTGGAGCCTTCACAGCTCAGACAGTTCTCGTCGCACCTGCAGGAAGACACAGAGGCTGCTGCGATTTGGGGAGGAGGCCCAGCCACCTGCCGGAGCCCTCCTCCCCTCCCTACACTCCCCACCTCAGCCCTGGTCCTCTGTGGGGAGGCGGCGGCTGTGCCCCAGGGGCCTCCTCCTGTCTGACCTCACACAGTCACGGCCATTCAGCAGGAGCGAGACTGAAGCTGCAGCTTGCCCAGGAGGGAGGAACAAGCCGAGGCCTCCGAGACTTCCTGTGGCTCATGTCCACACTCTCCCGGGCACTGACACCATCAGGCCCAGGGAACCTAGAGCAGCATCAGCACAGGCTTCCTCTGGCGGCTGCCCGCTTTGACGGCTGTGGACCTGGGGCTCAGCCAGACTCCACCCCAGGTGTCTGCCGGACCTGATCCTGAGCTGGCCTGGTGACTGCTGTCAGAAAACCAAGCTGCCTTTCAGGCCGTGCCTATCTCATCCAGGGCCAAGTGTCCTCCCAACTCCTGCCCCCTCTTGACAGTCCAGGCCAAGCCGGGCCCAGAGAGGGCCATGGGGCTGTTTCTGATACAGAGTAAAGGTGACCTAAGGGAAGGGTTGGCACACTCTGGCCCCTGGGCCACGCCCAGCTTGCCACCTGTTTTTTATAAATAAAGTTTTATTGGAGCACGGCCACACTCAAAATTGACGCACTGTCTATGGCAGATTTTTTTGCTACAACGCAAGAGGTGAGGCGCTGCGACAGAGACTGTATGGCCTAAGAGCCTCAAATATTTACTCCCTGGCCCTTTACAGGAAAGGCTTGCTGACCTGCCCCAGGTTTGAATTTGCTTGTTCCCCACTTTGGGTCCATGTGTGACCTGCAAGGCACCGTCTCTGAGTCCAGCACAGCAGCCCACCCACTCAGGGCTGGACAGGCCCCAGAGGCAGCATCTGAGGGGATGAAGGGATGTGTGCAGGACTGAGGGCCCTGCCTGTGTTTGCAGTTCTTGTCTGGGACAGAAGCCACCTTCCTGGAGGGAGGCCTGCAGTGACCGGATGCCAATGATGAGGCTCTTCGTGTGCCTCTTTCCAAAGCAGCCCTTGGTGAACGCAGATTCTACCATTGAGCCTCCACCCTCAGCAGCAGGAAGTGCAAATGAGCATCCAGGAGCTCCTCACCCTCTCCCTCCTGCGTTGAGGACAGGCCCTCCCCGCCCACCCCACCCTGAGCGCTTGCTGGGGGCTCTGCGCAGGAACCTGTTTCTCATTCACTTTTGGAACCCCTTGGGCCTGGCCTCCCAGAACCTCCCCCCTGTAGCCCTGGGGGACCCAGCCACAGGCCCCTGAGGCCACAGCAGAGGGGACGACTCCCTGGGAACGCTGCTGGCATCTCTTACAGACTACATCCATGAGCAAGACTGCGCCCTTTAAACTTGTGGCCAAGGATGCTTCAAACACAGCCAGAGTGCTGAGTGGGCTGTGGTGGAGTACCGGCAGGACTCGACTTAGCTTCTTCTCCAAGCCCTACCTTCACTAGGCCCTGTGGGATTTCCCTTCCTGCCCTGGCAGGACTACAGCGTGTTCGTCTCCTCCTGCCATGTAACAAATCACCACACACGTAGTGGCTTAAAACAACACCCACTGTAGCTCCCAGTTCTGCAGAAAGAAGTCTGGCAGGCTCAGCTGGGCTCCCTGCTGGGGGTCTCACAGACCCAGGCGAAGGTATGGTGAGGCTGGGCTCCTGTGTGAGGCTCCGGGGAGAAATCCAGCACCATGCTGCTCCCTGGGAGGGTGACGTTGCCCAGCGGACTCCCGCTCCCCCGAAGCTCCCTTTTCTCTGGAAGACACTCTCAGCTTCTTTCTGTTGGGGCTGGCTTGCATGTGGTCCTCTAGGGCAGGGGTGAGTGTTCAGTTATTTGACTTCACCCCCCAAAACACCATGGCGATTCTACCCTGCCAAATCCTGGAAGGGCAGGCATGTCCACTGAGCCCCTCTCTGCACCTCTTTCTGCTGGGCTGTTCCAGGTAAGAGTCAGACACCTGAACCTAGGGACACAGGCCTCCTTATTCCAGGAGCTCTCGTCACACTTCCTGGGGCACAGCTTAAAGTGGTCTCTGAGCTCCTGCCATCCAGCACCCAGTGGGGGCAGGTGCAGGGAGGGCAACGGGGAGGGGAAGTATCCCACAGAGCAGTTCTCTTTCTCCAAAGACGGCCTTGCTCTCTTGCTAGGTCTCTCACTAAGTCTGGGGGCGGGGGTCCAGGAGCTCTTTTGAGACACTTATCATCGATTTTCCTCAGTTTGACCTAAACACCACAGCAACACATCTTAGCACTCTGGTACCCTCCCCTCGCCACCCCCCAGCCACCCCCGGCCGCTATCTGGCCCCTTACTCGCAGGGAGCTGCCTGGCACCGTGAGCAGGAACAGCCTAGTGCAAACCAGCATTACAGAGGTGGGGAGGCCGTGCTCTCTCCAAGCTGCTGCTGCCAGGCTGGGCGAGCCCTGAAGACACAATCGGCAGCCCAAGTCTGTTTCCTTGGGGAGGACTCTACACTGAAGGGTCTTCTGGGCCAAGGGGATGCTGGCAAGGGTGGGCCCTTTCTGAGAAGCTGCAGTTCCCCTCCTCCGGGGCTCTGTGCAGGGTCTTCCTCTGGGGCGTTTTCTCCGAGACGTGGCATGTCAGCCCAGCTCTGAACTCCACTCCGAGGCTGGACACCTCCTCGAGGTGGAAGTGAGGCGCAGGTGTCCCCGAGGGGGACTCGACGGGGGGTCTGCCCCCTGCCCCTGCCGCCCTGGGGTGCCTGGTTGCCAAGCTCATGGGGATATCCAGCATCCTCTGGGATCCGGGCACTTGACAAATGAACGTGATTGTCACTGTTTTACCAAGTTCTCTCTGGGCTACTGTACTTGGGGAATTACCCGTGAACCATCTGGCTGGGTAAAACAAAAGGTTTGCTTCCGAGAACGGTGCAGAGGGCTCTGAGACTTGGCAGGGCTGGGTGAAGGTAGCAAGTTTCCGATCTCAAATCCAAGCAAAGAGGGGCTACCCTTTCACAGGTACCTGGCCCCCTCCCCTGGGCCCCTCTTCTGTTAAGTCACACAAGTGCAAGGACTTGGTAGCCTCTTGCTGGCTCACTGTAGCGTTGTTTTTTGTTTTAAGAAAAGAGGTTATAACCCAGAGCAGTTCTCCAAACACAGCCTAGGGAGGCGGACTCCATCGTGGGTCTGAGATCTGCCAGTGCTAATGAGTCCCCAGCCGTGAGCTGGAAGACGGGCTTGCTCTCCCGGCCCGTCACACAAACCTCAGAGGGCTCCCTTTTGGGTCTGTTTCAGACTCCCCTCCCTCACAACCCATCCTCATCCTCACTATCATCACATTCACACTCCTCTCTGTTGTTCTCTCCTGAACCAGAGAGCTGCCCAGCAGTGTTCCTGGAACCTAAGTTTATTACGTCTTGATATCAGGCAACACTCAGCAAGACAAGAGAAGACCAGAGCATATGGTTTCCTCCTTAACTGCCATGTCCAGCAACAAAAGGGAACACTGCCCAGCCCAAAGCCACCCAATAAGCGTGGCGGGCTGTGTAGACACATGGATAAAGGAAACAGGACCGTGACAGGGTTAAATGTATGCTCACTTGCTAGATAGCAAATGGCTGTAGAATGAGGAAACTGTCAGGACCGCATTCTTTTCTCTAAAGTATCTAATTTAAAAAACTTAAAAACCATCAAAAACACAACTTCCTAATTATCTACAAAGCAAATGCATCCCTAGGGCAGCACAGGTGGGCCCTTCAGTCAAGGCGGCCCTGGGAGGCAAGCATACAGACAACCCTTTGCTGTTCTTCTCCCTGCCCCAGCTCCAGTACCCGGCATACAACAATGGTATTCCACAACGCTCGTTAACACAGGAATGAAAGTCACCAACTCACGTGTGACCTTGGCCAAATCAGTAACTGCAGGTGTCCCCATCCTCTGCAGGGTGGGCTCCTGTCCTCCCCACCCCGCCCCTGCCCAGGGGAGATGCTGCTCCTTGGCTGGACACCGTGACTGCCCTGCCCCGTCATCTCGGCCGAGCCAGGGGACCGTCTGAAAGGAGCTGTACCTTCGACACACTTTGTGGGGCAGGCCTGGCATCTGTTCTGGGTAGAACCCTTCGCCGCAGGTTGGCACACACTTCCAGTCGTGGAAGTGGAAAGGTTTTGCACAGTGAATGCATTCTTCTCTGCTGGGCCCTGTGGGGACAGAAAAAGAAGTGGATGTCAAGGGCCACCCCACCAGTCACCGCGTCCCAGGCCTACTGCAGTGCCTGGTGAGTTCCAGGGCACTGTTCAGGTGACCATGGCCACCACCTTCGCTAACATTGCCCAAGTGGCCACGAAGAGCTTGCACCAGCCCCATCCTCATGTGGCTCCTGGGAGGTAGGTGTCACTGTTCCCATTTCACAGATGGGGAGATGGGAAGACCCGTACCTTCACAGGCATGAGACCGCTTCAACACATCTCCACACTGCCTGGGCCACGTTGGTTCCAAACATTTCCTTTCCCAACAGGCATAGGCCCTGCTTCTGTTACAGCCGCACCATCCAGTACCAGAGCCATTAGCTAGCACATGTGGCTACTGAGCACTTGAAATGTGGCTGGACAAAATTGAGATGTGCTGTAAATTACACACACACACTGGATTACAAAGACTTAGAATAAACACAGGGTGTAATATAACTCATTACTTTTTTATGCAGATTACATGTTGAAATGCTAGTATTTTAGATACATTGGATTAAATAAAGTATGTTATGAAGATTAACTTCATGTTTCTTTTTACCTTTTTAAATGTAGCTATTAGGAAATGTAAAAATGCACCTGTGGTCTACATGCTATTCCCATTGGATGGAGCATTGTGAAAAGTGATGTGGGGAAAGGGAAAAAAGATTTTTGGGAACAGTGTTGACAGGTGTTTCGTGTGGATGATCAGGACATCTTTAACAACAGGGAAGAAATGACTAATGGCTTAGGGGAGAGTTCGACTTGAAAAGACAAAAGATCTATACAAAGGATTAAGAGTTATGAATATGAGAGTCCAGAAATAAACCCACACATCCACTGTCAACTGATATTTGACAAGGGTGGTAAGTCAATTTGATGGGGGAAAGAAGAGTGTCTTCAATAAATGGTGCCGGGAAAATTGGACTTCCACATGCAGAAAAATGAAACAGGATCCATGCCTCACACCATACACAAAAACAAATTCAAAATGGATTAAGGACCTAAATGTGAAAACTAAAACCATAAAATTCTTAGAAAAAAATGGAGCGGCAACATTGTTTGGCCTAGCTTTCAACAATGAATTATCTAACATAATAACAAAAGCACAAATGACAAAAGACAAAATAAATAAATGGGACCTCATAGAAATTAAAAACTTTTGTTCATCACAAGACTTTACCAAAAAAGTAAAAAGACAAGTTACTGACTGGAAGAATATCTTTGGAAACCATATATCTGACAAGACTCTAATAACCAAAATATATATGTAAGTTTGACAACTTAACAACAAAAAGACAACCCAATCATAACATGGGCAAAAGACTTCAATAGATATTTCACCAAAGAGGACATTCACATGGTCACCAAACACATGAAAAGATGCTCAGTGTCATGAGTCATCAGAGAGATGCAAATCAAAACCATAACAAGATACCATATCATTCCCACTAGGATAGCTAAGATAAAACAAAAAAATAGAAAATAACAGATGTTGGCAAGGATGCGGGGACATTGGAACCCTTATCCGTTGCTGGTGAGAATGCAAAATGGTATAGCCGTTGTGGAAAACAGTGTGGCAGTTCTTCAAAAAACTAAAAACAGAACTACCATATGACCCAGCAATTCCACTCTTAGAAATATATCTAAAAGACTTGAAAGCAGAGACTCAAAAAGAGACTTGTACATCAATGTTCACTGCAGTGCTATTCACAATAGCCAAAAGGTGGAAACAACGTAAATGGCCATCAACCGACGAATGGATAAACAAAATGTGGTACACACATACAATGGAATGGTACTCAGCCAGTAGGAGAAATCAAGTCCTGATACATGCTACAGTATGGATGGAGATTGAAGACATTATGCTGAGTGAAATAAGCCAATCAAAAATGGCCACCAAATATTATATGACCTCAATTATATAAAAAGACAAGAAAAGGAAAATGTATGGAGACCAAAGTTTTTTAGTGGTTACCAGGGACTTGAGGGAGGGGGGAAAGTGGGGTTAATGGTGATAGAAAAATTGCATTGATTAAGGGTAGGGTTGCACAGCCAACTGTTATCATTGCTGTCAATAAGTTGTACACGTGTAAAATGTTGAACTGGCTAAAGTTGTGTGATACATGTATTTACAACAGAATTCGGAAATTACTGAACAATATCATTAATATCGCCTGAAAACCAATGCCGTCAAGTCGATTCCGACTCATAGCAACCCTGTAGGACAGAGTAGAACTGCCCCATGGGGTTTCCAAGGAGCGGCTGTTGGATTCGAACTGCCAATCTTCTGGTTAGCAGACGAGCTCTTGACCACTGTGCGCAAGTAAAATTTTGCTGAAGATCATTCAAAAGCAGTTGCAGCAGTATGTCGACAGGGAACTGCCAGAAATTCAAGCCAGACTCAGAAGAGGATGTGAAATGAGGGGTATCATTGCTGACGTCAAATAGATCTTGGCTGAAAGCAGAGAATACCAGAAAGATGTTTACCTGTGTTTTATTGACTATGCAAAGGCATTCAACTGTGTGGATCATAACAAATTATGGATAACCTTGTGAAGAATGGGAATTCCAGAACACTTAATTGTGCTCAGAAGGAACCTGTACATAGATCAAGAGGCAGTCCTTCGAACAAAACAAGGGGATACTGCATGGTTTAAAGTCAGGAAAGGTGTGCGTCAGGGTTGTATCTTTCACCATACTTATTCAATCTGTCTGCTGAGCAAAAAATCAGAGAACTTGGACTATATATGAGGAAAAAGGAGGTACTCGGATTGGAAAAAGACTCACTCACAACCTGCGTTATGTAGATGACACAACATTGCTTGCTGAAAGTGAAGAGGACTTGAAGCACTTACTGATGAAGATCAAAGACTACAGCCTTCAGTATGGATTACACCTCAACATAAACAAAACAAAAATCCTCACAACTGGACCAATAAGCAACATCATGATAAATGGAAAAAATATTGACGTCGTCAAGGACTTCATTTTACTTGGCTCCACAATCAACACCCATGTAAGCAGCAGCCAAGAAATCAAACAATGCATTGCACTTGGCAAATCTGCTGCAAAAGACCTCTTTAAAGTTTAAAAAAGCAAAGATGTCACTTTAAGGATTTAGGTGTTCCTGACCCAAGCCATGGTGTTTTCAATCACCTCATATGCACGTGAAAGCTGGGCAATGAATAAGGAAAACTGAAGAAGAACTTGATGCCTCTGAATTACAGTGTTGGCGAAGAATATTGAATATACCATGGACTGCCAAAGGAACGAACAAATTTGTCTTGGAGGAAGTACAGCCAGAATGCTCCTTAGAAATGAGGACGGTGAGACTTGGTCTCACATACTTTGGACATGTTATCAGGAGGGATCCCTGGAGGAGGACATCATGCTTGGTAAAGTAGAGGGTCAGCAAAAAAGAGGAAGACCCTCAAGGAGATGGACTGTCACAGTAGCTTCAACAACGGGCTCAAGCATAACAACGATTATGAGGATGGCACAGGACCAGGCAGTGTTTTATTTGGTTATACACAGGGTCACTATGAGTTGTAAGCGACTTGACGGCACCTAACGACAACAACAGTAAAAAAGGTCTGCCTTGAGCATTATGGTATTTTAGGATCTATCTGTAGGGAATCAAATCGACAACAGCAACTTGAAAGATTACATAGGAAACTTAGGGGGCAGAGAGTTTATGTTAATGGGGGAGGAACAACTCAGAAAAGGAGGGTGAGAATGGTTGTACAACTGGAAGAATGTAATCAATGTCACTAAATTGTACGTGTGGAAACTGTTGAATTGATGTATGTTTTGCTGTGTATATTCTCAATGACAAAAATGAATAAAATTATTGAAAAAAAGAATTACGGAGGAAAATGTGTAGCTAAGCCAATGATCAGAGGAGGACTAATTATCCTGGATCAGGCACTGTACTAGAATAAAGAAACTACACTGTCCATCCGTCTATCTGTCCATCCATCATTCATCCATCTCCCCATCCATCCATCAACCATCTATCCACTCATCTCCCCATCCATTCATCTCTTTGGACAAGTCCATGCTGAGCACCTACTCTGAGAAATGTTCCCAGGGAGCACCTGGTGTTGCTGTCAGGAGTGGCAGGGCAGCTGCTGGCTGTCAGCAGAGGTTTGAACATGGGGGAAGAAGTCATCTCAGACACTATATGGTAACCATGGTGCCTGGGTAAACTTTTTTTCCTCTTTGACTTGATTATGGAATTAGACTGAGGCCTGACAGCTAATGCAGTGATATTTGGCCCTTTTCCAGAAGTAACTTCTGAATAAGATGGACCTCCCTGCTGTGTCAAGGCAAGACTCTTTGCAGACATTCCGCAGCCCTGTGGGGCCCAGGGCAGCCGCCAGCTGCAGGCTCTCTGCTCTGATGGCCAGTTACACAACTTAGAACCATAGCTTTATGCCCTTGAAGGGAATATTGAGCTCATCCAGCTAAACTCCTCCTTTGACTGTCAGGAAAAGTGATGCCGAGAAGACCACAAGACCGTGAGTGAGAGGCTGAGGTGGGGGGAGGACAGGCTGGGCAGGAGCCCCAAGGGTGGGCGTCATACTGCCTGCCCTCCTGCAGGGGTTCTGGGCTGCTGCTGGCCGGCCCCAGTCTCCGCGTGTCTTCCTGTGGCGTGCTGAAGAGCTGCCCTCAGGGACAAGGCAGGCTGCTCTGTCTTCCTAGCCTGAAAGCTGCTCTCTTCTTGGGGCAACCTTTCCTCTCATGCTTTGGCCAGTGCTTCCCTACCCCTCATTTATCTCCAGGGAGCTCTGGAGGCCAAAGCTGAGGTCAAGGGCATTCAGATGGGCCTTACTCAGGGAGGATGTGTGCTGGTCGGCTGGGCTCTTGCTCTTCTTCCTGCCTTACCTGCTGAAACCCTTGTCACCCATGGTCTTTCCCCAGCGGGGAGCTCCAATGACCCACGGACTCCTGTGGTGGGAAAGGACGCT